TCAACAGCAGCAGCACGTGCCATCACAGGAACCACCCCATGCGTTTGCCAGCGCCGGGCATGGCGTGGGGCGGACTGGCAGAGAGATTGTGCGTCAGAAGAAGACCACTGGCAGCTGTGGCAGCCGGTGCAGCAGCAGCGGCAGCGACTTGGCACCAGGCTATGAGCCCTCGGCTGCTGCAGCATCTGCTGCTCCGTCAGTATCTGCTCCGCTAATGGCTGCTCCCTTAGTAGCTTCTCCTTCAGTTGCTCCTGCCTATGTGTCTCCTGCCTCTGTGGCTCCTGCTAATTCTCTCTTACGAGCAGCATCAGCACCAGCACCAGCACCAACAGCAGCAGGAGCAGCAGCAGCGGCGGCTGTAATGCCGGTCCAAGGGCCAAGATCTGGTGCTGAGGCGGCTTTTGGAGGAAGCAGGGCTGCAGCGGTGTTTCTGGGAAGCTTTGAGAGCTGCACGGGCGTTGAGGCAGAGCCCCCTGCCGCTCCGGGCGGCCTGCACCAGATGCTGCTCCTGCAGCAACAGCAACAGCATCAGCAACAACAACAACAGCAACAGCAACAACAACAACAACAGCAACAGCAACAACAACAACAGCAACAGCACCAACAACAACAACAGCAACAGCAACAACAACAACAACAACAGCAACAGCAACAACAACAACAGCAACAGCAACAACAACAACAACAGCAACAGCAACAACAACAACAACAACAACAACAGCAACAGCTTCAACAACAACAACAGCAACAGCAACAACAACAACAGCAACAGCAACAACAACAACAACAGCAACAGCAACAACAACAACAACAGCAACAGCAACAACAACAGCAACAGCAACAACAGCAACAACAGCAACAACAACAGCATCATCAGCAGCAGCAACAACAACACTACAGGCAGCAACAACAGCAGCATCACTCTCAGCAGCAGCAGCAGCAGCAGCAGCAGCAGCAGCAGCAGGTAAATGACCGAAAGGAGCAGCAGCAGGCCTTTTCTGAGGTGCTGCCAGAGCAGCAGTGGTTGTGGTGGGGCGGGCAGAGCCGTGCCTGAGTGGTTTTGGTTGTGGTCGTCGCTGTATTGTATGGTGTGCATGGTATGTTCAAGCTGCTGCTGCTGAGCGAGAGGGTGCTAGGTGTTGTGCTATTCCATGTACCGTAACTGATGCATTGGGTGTTTTTGGGAAAACCATAGGCTTCAATTGTAATTGCTTTAGATTCCATGCAGCTTAGAACGAGACACAGGACTTTGCAACTAGTGCACAAGAACACCTGAACGTGTGCTACCAAAAAAGGCTCGGGGTTGATGCTTTTGGAGTGGAAAATGGTACTACTGTCAATAGTGTTAATGGTAAATAGATGGTCATGTAAACCCTGAGGCATATTTGGTATTCTTCTATGGCGGCCCATGCGTTGGTTGTGTAGGGAATGCACAAATCCAATTTGCCCACCGTACCCGGACGTTGGACGAGATTTTGCTTTGTTGCACCTGAGGGAACCACTAGCAGCAGTCATAGCTTCTCCAGTGGGCGAAGTTGTCCGCTTTTACTGCCGTTTGTGGCATGCCCTGAATTTTGGGGAGCGTTGGTGCTCGGTGCCGCGCGCTTTAAAAAAAAAAAAAATATATATATGTTAAGATATACACCGATGATGCTAGTGCATACAAACATATATCAGTCGTAACTGAGCGTGAGAGGCCCGGCAGCGTGCCAGCCTCAGGGGACGACTCTAAGGGGGATGCAGTGCCCCTCGCGCAAGATTCCACAGCGCGCCAAAGCGATGGGACCATTTCCAGCCCTTGCCATTCAGAGACCAGACACGTCCAAGGAGCCGACCCTCTTGTTCTGCCAGCGCGTATGTCTTCCCGCCCTGCCTCAAGTCACCCTTCATGTTCAGCTTTATCCCTGTTGCCCGAGTGTACACCCGCACATGGAGCCTGAAAGCTGCTTCAATCCTCCTCAGCACCCGCCTGGCCCGAAACCTCTTGCCTCGAAACACGCAATCACACCGTTCTGCCCAAATCTGGTGTATTGCGATTGCCGAGAGAGATGCTTCCGGAAAAGCTGAGGTGGAAGCGGTGTTGCCAAACAGTAGGTCACCCAAGCTGTCAACATGCCTCGTCGGATTCAGCATGCGCAGAGCCTTCCGAACTGCTCCCACAACCGTCTGGATCCTTGGACAGGTGTAGAGGCAATGTTCCAGAGTTTCAAACTCCCCGCAATGCGGGCAGACCGGCTTTCCACTCAGGAAGGAAAGCCGTTCGCCCACCTGAAGGTTGAGACGAACGAACGACTGGTATGGAAAAAGAAATAGTGTATTATCGAAGTCTCCGCTTGAAACGGGCTAAGCACATTTTTTTGTATTCCACTAACCATAGTGTTTCCCTCAATGCAAAAATAAATAAATTCTTTCGAGAAATAACCCGAACGGGGCTTGAACAGAATGGAATGGGGCTCATGATTGGCCTACCTCACCGCCAATCATACCTTTCCTCGCCTCGCCTCGCTTCACCATGGATGTTGGCTTTCCCCCATTGATTCCTCCGCAGAGCTCGTCCAACCAACCAACAAACACCACCACCCCTCGGGCATGTCATCCCGCTTTTTTCACCCAACGAACCAATTCCAACTTCCAAGGGTTCTCCTCTCCTCTCTCCCGTTTCGGTCATCCCCCCCCCCCCCCCGGTCCCCGACTTCTCCCGTCCCTCCTCCCAACCCAACTGACCTGTTTGTTTCGCTAGTCACACCAGCTTTGCATTCAAGCAGTCAGACGGATGCTGCTATCCATGAGATGAGACCGATTCCCATGACACGCGTCAGTCATCGGGGGGGAACTGGTGAGACTCTGAACCTCAGCGATGCGCTGAAAGATTCATGTGGAAGACACCGTCCGGCAAAGGCTGGGGAGTCTGAGAAAGACTTGCGGTTGGAATGATACACTACAGCTCTCTGTTTTCACTGGCTAATATTTTTTCTCAAAGCGAAACCTAATCAGCGGAGCGCCTACTAACTTATTTGATGGACGATGATCATGACCTGGGTAGCTACTATCGCGGCTCGAGAATCTACCCTCACGTAGCAGGCCCGCCGAAAATGGGCCCTACGATTTGCACATTCGCCATGACTGCGAGACTCGCAGTCTCGGCCGGCGAAGGCCCATCGTCCGTCGCCGCGTTGCCGGTTTTCGGGCAAAGCCTGCTCGCCGAATCTTGGGATTCGCCCGACGAAGGCGAATCACCGGGACGGCGCTCGGGAAGCATTAGCGTAGACGCAAAGGAAGGGTCTTCTCGGCTTTCAGCGTCTGCTGCTATCAGTGCTGCTGCTGCTACTACCACTGCTGCTGTCAATGCGGATGACACTGCTGACGCCACTGCCACGCCATTTAGTACCGCGTTTCCAGGACTTCATTCGGGATCATTAGGGGTAGATCTACGGCCTGGGCTCGGGTCACGGGGGCCTTCGCTCGATCGAACGGCTCAGGGCAGTCGTTCCGCGCCGCATGTGACGGTTGCGGAGGCAGCGGCGTTGGCGATTGCGGCTGTGGATAAGGAGCAGCGAAAGGAGAAAGCCGCAGCGGCGGCGGCGGCGGAGGCGGCCGAGGTTTCTGGAGAGAGGTCGGTATCGACAATCGAAGCCGCTGCGAACCTTCTTGGTCGAGGAAGAAGAAGACGAGAAGTGGGAGCGAGCCCGCGAGAAGCGGGCCCGAGCTGCGGTGGCAGCACCGCGAGCAGCAGCAGAACCGCGGGGGGGGTGGGGGGGGGCGTGCCCTTGGGAATGCCGCCAACTCCGAAGCGCGCGTCCAGGCACGGTCGGTCGCGGTCATCAATGGCGTTCCTCTCGCTCTCCCCCTTTTCCTTCTCCCAAGCCTCCACGTCTGTCGCGAGTTCCCCTCTCGGGACTCATCACGCGTCGGACGTAGGCTCTAGTGCCGCCAGCCCGCGCCTTTCATCCGCTGACGTGGCAGCAGCCGGTTCTCTCGCCGGTCCTGCGGCTGCCACGTCAGCGTCGTCGGCGTCCCCCAGCCCGCGCTTGCTGGCGCCGCCGGACGGCCTACAGCCGTCCGCGTTATTCGCTAAGAGCAGGCGCGCCAAAGGCAGCCATTCTCGCAGCCGTAGCTTATCCGAGCCTTTTTGGTTCCTCGGCCAAGCCTCAGGTTTGGACCTGAAAAGCCCGAGCCGGTTCAGGTTCGGGCCCAGGGCGTTTTCGGTGAGCGGAGGAGGCGGTGAGGGGGAGGGGGAGGGAGGAACAGTGGGTGCAGGTGCGTCAGGAGCAGGTCTTAGTGACACTGGGGGATTCTCGTCAGGGGACGATGCACTGAGTGGAATGAGTCGGAGGGACGGGCGAAACCAAGAAATAAGCAGCGCTGCGGGTACTACTGGGAGTTGGAGGAGAAGCCGCAGCAGAGGACGCGCATTGAGTCCTATCCGATCCGAAAGCTTCGACCGCTCAAACGGTGACACGTGTCACTCCGCAATTTCCGACCGTGTATCTTTCTCCGCCAACGCCCTTCCGCCGCTCGCCATTCCCGCTTCCACCAGCCTCGATGACACTCCGCAAGCCAGCCCCTTGCCCGGGGGGGGCGCGGGCGGAAGGCCCTCCCGCATCCAGTCATTTTCCCCGAAGTTTCTTCCGCCGATTCCCGCGCGCGCTGCCGCAGGCGGAAGCGGATTCAGTCCATGCGGAAGCCCGCACTCTAGCAGGGGCGCGGGGAGCGCGACAGGAAGCGCGACAAATAGTTGCGCGAATAGTCCGCGGATGCCTTTCAGTCCGCTGCGGTGGGCGGGACTAGGCGCGTTTGGGTTCCGCACGTCGTCTAGTCTGAAAGCGAGCATGGGCGGGGGCAGGGGCGGGCTGGGGAGCGGAAGCGGGAGCGGGGGAGGGGAGGATGATCTACTTGTGAGTGATGAGGGAGGGGTAACTGCGGGAATCAACGGAGGGGTTGTGGGGGAAGGCGGGGGCGGGGGGCGGCGGGTGAGAATTCAACCTGGGACCAGGGGAGGGGAAGGCGGAGGGATAGGAGGAGAGGCAGGAGCGGGACGAAGGGAGCGAGCGCACAGGAGATCGTTATCTGTTGATTTCGTGTCGCCTTTATTCGCCCCTCTCATGGCCGCGCGCAATTCCTTCTCCCCAAGGCCGCCCCTCGTCCACCAAGGTGGTAACCCTCCTCCGCGCGCGCATGTCTTCATCTCCCCCTCCTCTTCCTCCGCGTCTCCTCGCCCCGCGCCCAGTTCGGCGGCTGCTGACTCATCCCCTTCCCCTTCCTCCGGACGCCGCTCTTCGCATTCCGCCCACGCTCTCCCCTCGCCGTCCGCCCACGCCCTCCCCTCGCCCTCCGCCCATCCTCTCCCCTCACCCTCCGCCCACCCCCTCCCCTCTCCTTCCGCCTACCCACCCCCCTCGCCCGCTGCCCATCCGCTCCCCTCGCCGTTCGCGCACTCGCGCCCGCCCCGCCCCGCCTCCCCGCTCCAGTCTTCCCCCCACCCTCGCTCCGCGGACTCTATTCGCCTGCTTGATTTTGGAAGAACCAGGGGGAGCGAGGCGTGTGGAAGAGAGAGAGACGGTGAGTGCGAGGGCGAGGGCAGCGGGGGAAATTGCAGCAGAAATGTGCTTCAATCACCAGCAACGCCAACGGCAGGTGCAGCAGCAGCAGGAGGAGGAGGAGAGGAAGAATGCGCAGTAGCAGGATTTGACAAAGGGCAGCGGAAGAAGGCAGGGTGGGGAGGCAGCGCGTTTGGAAGAAGCAGCACTTTCGCCCCTTTTGGCCCTTCCAAACTGGTCCCAGCGGGCCGCAGGCATAGAAAAAGCGCTTCCCTAAGCACCTTTCCATCCATAGTGGAGCACTCTATAGCGGAGCATTGTGTGCTGGCACAAGGAGACGCAGAGGAGCAGGGGGGCGGGTCGGATCTGGGGGAAAGGGGAGAAGGCGGAAGAGGGAGTGTGGGGAGTGGGGAGGGGAAAGGCGTAGGAGGTGCTTTTAGTTCTGCACTGATCATAACAAAATCCGTAAGCTACAATATTTCTGTAAGTAAGACTCTTAGCCAAGAGCAGGATGGGAGAAGGGGGAGTGTGGGAAGTGGGGAGGGGAAAGGCGTGGAAGGAGGTAGCAGCCCTGTTCTGATGACCAAGTCTATAAGTTACAGTAACCCTACAAGTACGACGCTTAGCCAAGAGGCGGATGGGAGTGCGGACGCGCAGAGGCAGGGCGCGGGCCGGAAGTTCTGGGGCATATGGGGGCGGAGGAAAGGAGGAGAAACGGGAGCAAGGGGAGGAGAAGGAGGAGGGGAAGGAGGAATGGAAGGAGGAAGAGGAGCAAGGGAGGAAGGGAGGCAAGGTTCAGGAGGTTCGGGTTATTCTCAGACCCTTGGCAGAGCATTGGCAAAAACGGGCTCTGGCAGAGCATTATCAGGATCGGGCACTGGCAGGGGCAGGTCCCGCGAGGGCAGCTTCAAGGAGTTTCTCAAGGGGCGGTTCAGCCCTCCGAGGGTTGAGTTACTGCCTGATACTTGTATGGTGGATTCGGGTGTGTACGAACCGGGTCTGCTGGATGGGCGTGGGGGAGTGGGCAGTGGGGAGGAGGACGAGGCTTCGTTGCTGCCGCTGTCGCCAACGGGTATGCCCGTTGCTGCTCTCTCGCAGCAGCATCATTACCAGCAGCATTATGCGCAGCAGCAGCAGCAGCAGCAGCAGCAGCAGCGGCAGAAGCAGCAGGAGCAGCAGTCTCGCCAGTCGCGAGACAATCACTCTCGTGTGGGGTGTGGGAGGGCTGGGAACAGTGGTGATACCGGCCCTGGCATCACAGCGTTCTCCCTGCCCTCAACTCCCACATCCCGGGAAACAACCTCTCTCACAGGAGGAGGCGGAGGGGAAGCAGCAGCAGCAGCAGCAGCAGCAGCTGCAGGAGAAGGAGCGGGGGTATCGGCTAAGGAGCAAGCGTTTCTCTCGTCCTCCCTGTCGTCGTTACAGACTCGAAAGCCCTGGGGCATCATCCCGCACACTTCCTCTGCTGATGATGCAGCCGGTGCAGTGGAGGAGGAAGACTCCATCCCTCCCCTGCCCCACCTCTTGCATCACCTGCTCCACCACTCAACCAGCAGCCCCTCCTCAGGCACAAGGGGAAAGTGTCCTGATCAAGAGCCCGGGGGAACTGCTAGCAACGGCTTGGCAGTAGCTGGCCGGGATGCTACAGCTGCTTCTGCTGCTACAGCCGCCCCAAGTGCTACAACTGCTCGGCTGTCGCTCCCCCTGACCCCCTCACCAGGAGAGATGGATATTTCGGTTGACAGCCCTGCTGCCGGCCTTAGAGTGTCTGCAGGAGCGTCTTCAGGTGCTGTTGCTGTCTTGGGTGCTGCATCAGGTGCTGCCTCAGGTGCTGCTGCAGGTGCTTCCTCAGGTACCGATTCAGGTGCTGGCACTTCAGGTTCTGCATCCACTGCTAGTGCAGGTGCTTTTGTATCAGATGGAGCTGTTTCAGGTGGCGAGTCAGGTGAAACCACGGGTTTAGAGACAAATGGCAAAGGGAATTCAGCGGCTGAAGCAGCACCAAAGGACACAGCAGCAGCAGGAACTAACAGCAACGGAGGCTCTTTTATTGACACAGGAAACGGGAAAGGCGTTGAAAGGGGGACAGAGACGGGGGATTCAGCAGCAGCAGCAGCAGCGGCATCGGCAGCAGCAAAAGTAGCTCCTCCCAATTCTCTCCCCCTATCCTCTCTTCGCCGCCCGGCCTCAGCCCAGAGCCCACTATCTTCCAACTCCCGCCACCGCCGGGCGGCGTCAGAAGCCCGCGATTTCCTCAGCGAGCTGGGAGCGCGCCGCCCGGCCTTCATGAACAGTGTCGCGAAGTGCGGCCTGCGGGCGGCACAGCATGGCAGGAGTGCATCTGTAGCGGTGCTTTCAGGGGTGGGAGGCAGGGGAAGCGTTGGGATAGAGGTTGGGGTTTGTGGTGGTGATGGTGGTGGTGGTGATGTGGATAGGATGGGTGTTGATTGTGATAAAGCTGGTTGGGAGAAGTTTCCAAGAAACAGCAGCAGTGGGGGTGGTGGCAGGGGTGAGAAGGGCCAGAGGAGTCGGCTTGGGCGGCATCGATCGTCTGCTTCCTTGGAGATGCCGCACCGGCCGTTCACTGCTGAGAGCTGGCAGCATGTGGGGGAGGTGGATCAGGGGCAGGTAGGTTGGGAGCAGGTAGAACTGGAACAGGTGGAACTAGAGCAGGTTCAACTGCCGTGGGGTGAGGCGGTATCACACCAGGAGCAGCAGCAGCCGTGGCAGCAGCAGCCACAGCAGCAGGAGTGGGAAGAACAGGAGGAGTGGGAGCGAGGGAGTGTGGGGTGGAGCAGGAGAGGAGCGGGTGTGGGAGAGTGTGATGCAGATGATACCAGTCCGCAGGGGCGAGCAGATGTGTGGGTGGCTGAGGAGGAGGAAGAGGAAGAGGAGGAAGAGGAGGAGGGAGAGGGAGAGGGAGAGGGAGAGGGAGAGGAGGGGCAGGAAGAAAGGCTTGTTCTCATGAACATGGACAATGAGCAGGATGCGTCTGGGGGAGGTGCTTTCAGTGCTGTCAACCCCCCCCTCACTGCATTCACTGGTCAGAGCCTGTTAAGCAGAGGCAGACGCCGGGGCCATGCGCGCCCCTCCCCTGCCCGCCCTTCTTCTGCCTCCTCCTCCTCGTCCTCTGCTGCAAGGGCGCATGATTCATGGAATGCGGCCCCGCTCCCTCTCTCCGCCGTCCCTGCTTCCACCCATTCCGCCTCTGCTTACCATGCATCTGCTCTGCACTATCGGAAGAAACACGCGCTCTCCCCCCGCTCCGCCTCCCAAGCGCCTGCACCCCATCACCGAAACCCCCCCAACCCCTTCGCCTCCCGCCCCTCTGCCGCTGCTGCTGCGTCAACCCATGAAAGCTGGAACAGCTCTGCTCTCCCCCCCGCATTTGCTATGAGCCAGCCTTTCAACCCCCCCAACCCCTTCGCCTCCCGCCCCTCTGCCTCTGCCTCTGCTTCAACCCATGACAGCTGGAACAGCTCTGCTCTTCCCTCCGCATTTGCCATGAGCCAACCCTTCCCCCCATTAGCTCTCCGCTCCCCCCACGCCCTCCCCCACCACACCAACCAATCCACCTCCCGCCCCTCCGCCTCCCGCCCCTCTGCCTCTCCCTCTGTCGTCTCTGCCGCTGCTTCAACCCATGATAGTTGGAACAGCTCTGCTCTGCCACCCGCGTTTGCCATGAGTCAACCTTTCAACCCCCCCAACCCCTTCGCCTCCCGCCCCTCCGCCTCCCGCCCCTCCGCCTCTTCCTCTGTCTCTGTCGCTGCTTCGACCCATGACAGCTGGAACAGCTCTGCTCTGCCATCCGCATTTGCCATGAGCCAACCCTTCCCCCTCCGCTCTCCCCACGCCCTCCCCCACCACACCAACCACTTCCCTCTCAGGTCCCCCCGCTTCCCCCTGCCCTCCCCTCGCCGCCCCTCCCCTCCCTCCCGCCCACCTGCTGCTGCGCCCTCTCTCCTCCCCGTTTCCCCCCACAGCCGCTTCTCCACTTCCACCCCTCCAAACCCCCCTTCCCCTCATTCCCCTCCATCCCCCACTGCATATAACCCAGAAGGCCCAGTCCCTCCTTCACTCTCATCCCGACCCAGCACTGCCCCTCACTCCTCCCCTCCCGCTGGCACACGCGACCGGCCTGCCCGCCTCCCAGGTCCCCGCCTGAGAATCCACCTGACAGAACCTGACTCTGATCTAGGTCCCGACTCACTCTCTCGCCTTACCCCAGGTTCTGCATCCGCGTCATTTGCTGCTTCTGGTGCAGGAAGGAGCAGCAGTGGGCGTTGGAACCACCTTCAGAGCCCACGTGTGCTGCCCAGCCTTCCGAGCTTGCTCAGCCCGCACGTAGCAGCAAGCCCACGCATAGCAGTAAACAGCCCGCGCTTCGATCGCCTACACGCCCTGCCACATGCCAAGAAGTCGCCTCTCCCTAGAGACCTCGTCCCCGATCCCTGGGACTCTCCCGATCACCCTTCTTCCGTCGACAACCGGGCAGTTTTACCCGTGCATTCACACAACGTGGGTAATTACCCCCAGCAAAATCCAGGGGTACTTCCCTGGGAAGGGGATGGTGGGTATTCAGCTGCTGGTTCAGCTTCCGAGGAGCAGCACTCGCAGTGGGAGTATAGCAGACAAGATGAACGCCCCCAGACAGCTCCGGACCGGAGCCTGCTTCACCGAGGCAGCCGCAACAGGTTCGGGGAGAGGCTCGGGGAGAGCGCTAGGTTTGGTGGGGAGAGGCTGAGGGACTTGGAGGAGCAGGAGGAGTGGGGGGAGGACTGTGTGGAGGAGCATGGGGAGAGGCTCGGGGAGAGGTTCGGGGAGATGCTGGGGGAGAGGTATGGGGGTAGGCTCGTAGGACATGACAAGTATCATAGGAGGGGATACAATGGCAGATGGGCGAGCACAGGGTCCTTCCAGGAAAGGGGGGGTGCGGGGCTGCATGGAAGGGAGGCAGGGGGGATGGGAGGGTATGGTGGAGATGAAAGGAGAAGAAGCAGTGGGGTGAGTGGTGGTGGTGGTATTGGTAATGGTGGAAGCAACGCGGGAGATTCCGATGGGGAGGAGTGGTCAGATGAAGATGATGCCAGAGCAGCCGGGGGTGGCACAGAGAGGGGAGCGGCTGGAAGAGGAGCAGCAGGAGGGGGAGGTGGAGGGGGATTTCAAGCAGAGGGCGGGCTGAGAGGCACAGGGCTGGCAGGGAGGTATACGGCAGCAGCAGGCAGTGGCACGTCGCTCCTGAGGCGGCACAGTACCTCCAACCGCCGCCGCCCGGCCATGCGCTCACTGGACGAGCACGAGGAGGAGGGCGGGACGGAGGTGGTGAGTATACACAGGAGATATAATGAGGATGAGGATGATGATGGTGGTGGTGATGGTGATGGTGGCAGACGGAATGACAGAAGGGATGAGCTGGCGCCGCTTCCCCCCTGGAAAGAAGGACTCAGGGGGGAGCTAGGCTCCGCTGGTCAGGGGCTTGTGTCTGGCATGGGGCTGGGGCGGCCGATGGTTTCCCGGTGGGCCGGGGCAGGAGGGGGCGGAGGGAGAGAGCGCGGGAGCAGGGGAGGGAGGGATGGGGAGTGGCAGGACATGCCAGGCGTGTCTATGTCTTGTGGGAGTGGGGCGGTTTGGACGGGAAGTGGCTTCAGTGGTGCACGCAGCGCTGCTTTTGATGCCGCCCCTGCATGGGCACCTGGAGGGGCACTTGGAGGGGCTGTTAGAGGCTCAGGTGTGTCTAGTGCACAAGTCAGGCAGAGGCCAGGTTCGGCATCAAGTGTGAGGGGAATGAGTGAGAGGGTGGAAGAGGGCATTGTGGAGAGTCTGGAGAGTCGGGAGAAGGAGGAGAGTGATGATGGAGGTGGTAGTGTGGTGGAGTTTGAGGATGAGAGTGAGGAAGAAGAGGAGAGTGAGGGGGAGGAGGATGAGGAGGAAGAGGAGGATGAGTCAGACGACGGAGAGGAGGACGAGGAGGATGAAGAGGATGAGTAAGAGGGCAACAACACAGTGACAAGGGTGCCATTATCAACACAGCACTCAGCTGAAAGATGTGAATATAATTTATACTCGTGCTGCCTTGCTGGATCTATGCTTGAACGTATGCCTGAGATGACAAAACAAGCATAGCTTGCACATTGTCGTGGCGTCTTCGGTTATTACTTTTGTATTTGCTATAATACTATTAACTTGTTAAGTTAGCGCGGTGTACTGCCAATGGAGAACCCGCTTTTGCCCTCCTCGAAGATCTGGGAAGCATCGTGGCGACTTGCTGTCATGAATCGTGTCGTTCGCCACGTCAGAGGTCACATTTGCCACGTCAACATCGATCTCCTCTTACCACCCAACCAAACCTCGATATTCCCGAGCCAGCATCAGCGTCTCTACTGCATGCCCTCTGCGAGGCGGTTGAGTAACTTTTATTGCGGGGAAGAACGGTTCTTCGAGATCAATAACGGCTGGATGAGATTGACAGCTAGCACGAGCATAAATTGCACCCCCATCACATCTTCAAATACACAAAGGCCCTGTTCGCCACGCCTTTGCTGGGCCTCCAAAGGGATGGGCGGGGGATCCGGAAACCGCCCTGCACCTTCGAAAAGGGCTGAAATCAGGGTTTTAGGGCCGGTCAGACCAACAAATCCTGTCGAGCCTGAAGATCCCCTCCGAACCTCGGTGGGCTCGCTGTCGTGGCGAACACCCACATTTCTGGGCCATCAAAGGGATTGGCGGGGGATCCGGAATGCGCATGGCAGTTTCCTGCCCTGCCAGCTAGAAATCCCATCCCTTCCCTCGCCTCTCCCCCGTGCAGACCACTAATTTCGGGGGTTCATCCCCTTCATGAAAAGAATTTGCCCCTGAAGGAAGGGGGGAGGCAGGCGCTAGATCCCCTTCACCCCCTTCCTGATCCCATTGGCGAAATTTCAGTCGAGGGCGAGCCCCCCCGGACGTAATTTGCAGCTTCCTTTGCACCTTCTAGAGCCCTCGCCCATCCCCCGCCCCTTGTCTATAGCGTGGTCGTGGCGAACATGGCCGAAGCACAACCAAGCTAGCTTGCGGTGCCGAGCGCAACTTTCTTGCCCTCCGATACTTTCTTTCACGCTTCTTCACGAATACTTTCTTCCGCCATGACGTCCGCAACCCTCGCCGCTCCTTCCGCTGCCTCCGCGCGCCTTGCGGGGCCTTCCGCCGCGAGATGCGGGCAGCCCGCCACGTGTTCCCTCACCGCATCCTCTGCTGGTGTCTCCAGACGCGCCTCCGCCGCCCTTACGAGCGACTTTCTCCCATCGCGGCCCGTTGACGTACGTGATTGAATCACTTTCCGTTGACGTAAGTGATTGAATCACTTTCCGCTGCCGTCCCCGTGTATGAAAATGCTGTCGAAGATATCCGATCAATATTCAAGTGACATTTCTCGGAAAGATTTCTCCAGGATCCTGAAACCTCCCTTCTAGTCCTTCGCTTTTCTTATGCATCGAATACTCTCCGTTTGTTTTCTACAAGTTTTGATGCGTAAGAAAGTACCTGTTGCTCTCCCCCCTTCTTTCCCCTTTCCATCGCTCTTCACGCTCCGTCCCCACCTCCCCTTATTCCCCTTTCCCGTTTCCCCCTCCCCTTCCTCCCCCCCCCCCCGCCCCCCTCCCCCTTCTATTCACTTTTCTATTTTACGCGTTCACGTGGCGCCATTACAGAGACAAGCGCTGCGGGCAGCAACGGGCCGCAAGCCGCGAGCAACCTCCGTGCGCCCCGGCCACGTGTTCGCGTCTGCTGACGTGGCGCAGCTGCGCGGAGCGCGCGAGGCGATTAAGGACATCATCACGAGCAAGTCGTGCAACCCTATTCTCGTACGTTGCCGTTTTCAGTTACCGTTTCAAGTTGCCGGTTTAAGTTACGGTTGCAAGTCACCTTTTCATTTCACATTACCGTTTGAAGTGGCGAATCCAGTACGGAGTTCAATACCAAACTTAGCACCAAATTATTACTGAATCGGTTACCGAATTTGGTTGTACGACTGTCAGAACGGCTCAGGTAAATCTGTCAGGTGAATCTCCTTTATGTCTGACGCTTAGATTCAGAGGAATCAGACACGAGTGAAGAATCAACTCCGATCCTCACTCCTCCGCTCCCTCCAACATTCCCTCCCAACAGATTCGCCATCGCGGGGGCCATCGCGGGGGCCATGGCGATGCTACAGCCCTCTCTCATGCCACCTTCCCCCCTGTGCTTGAGGCCTGGTCCCCTAGGACTCGCCCCATTCCCCTTGCTGCTCATTACCCTGCCTCTCTTCCCCGCCCCCTCCTCTCCTTCCTCCTCTCCTCCCCCCTCGCCTCCCTACAGATCCGCCTGGGCTGGCACGATGCGGGCACGTTCGACAAGTCTGTGGGCGAGTGGCCGAAGCAGGGCGGTGCCAACGGCAGCATTCGCTTCCGCCCGGAGATCGACCACGGCGCCAACAAGGGGCTGGCGGGGGCCATTGCGCTGCTACAGCCGGTCAAGGACGCCTTCCCTGCCGTCAGCTGGGCCGACCTGTTCCAACTCGCCAGCGCTACAGCCGTGGAGGTGAGTGGGAGCAGGCCTGGGGGACTTGTTTTCTGTGCGGCATGTAATGCCTCACCGCAAGACTGGCAGGAGCCCGTGCAGTGCCGTGTGTGATGCAGGTGAATGGGTCACGGGGAGATGCATGCATTATACGTGCGTCATTCAACCCAACCCAACCCAACCCAACCCAACCCAACCCAACCCAACCCACCCCAACCCAATTAACCCAACCCAACCCAACCCAGCCCAACCTAACCCAACCCTACCCAACCCCACCCAACCCCATCCCACTTAACACCAGTTCGCAGGTGGGCCGGTCATCCCCATGAGGTACGGCCGAGTGGATTCGACCGGACCCGAGGACTGCACACCTGAAGGCAACCTGCCAGGTGATTTCAACAGAACCCTCCAGGTGCTTCCAACAGAACCCGTTAGGTGATTGGAACAGAACTTGGAGGTATGTAATCACTAAAAAATAGAAAGACATAAGGGGTTTACAAAAGCAATGCAGTTAGTTAGTAACATTTTCAAGATGCAATGCAGTTAGCCTGTTTTCCTTCTCCTCCCCATCCTCCCATTTCTCCCCCTCCTCCCCCTCCTCCCCTTCCTCCCCTTCCTCCCCTTCCTCCCCTTCCTCCCCTTCCTCCCCTTCCTCCCCCTCCTCCCCTTCCTCCCCTTCCTCCCCCTCCTCCCCTTCCTCCCCTTCCTCCCCTTCCTCCCCCTCCTCCCCTTACTCCCCCATCTACTCCTCCCCAACTCCCCCATCGTCTGCCTTGTCCCGATCCTCTGCCGGTCCTGCCCACCGTCAGATGCGGGGCCCCCCTCCCCAGCGGATCACCTGCGCAAGGTGTTTTACCGCATGGGGCTCAACGACCAGGTGAGGAGAGCACTGTGTGCACTCAATCACACCGTTACCACTGCTAACGCCGCTACAGTTGTTACTGCTGCTAACACCGGTATCACCACCAGAGGATCATCTGCACAAGAAGTTTTACCGCATGGGACTCGATGACCAGGTGAGGCAGCGAGCAGGTGGGGCATGAGGCAGGGGGCAGGTGACGACAGCACTGTCGCTGTTATCACCGTAACCACTTTGCCTTATTTGTAACCCTCCCCAGCGGATCATCTTCCAAGGTGTTTTACCGCATGGGGCTTAACGACCAGGTGAGGGTGGGGATTGCGGCAAGTGCAGGTGGGGCAGAGGCAGGTGGGGCGAGGGGGCAATGCAGTGGGACAAGTGGTGCGAGGAGCAGGGAGGTCTGTGTGAAAGAGAGACGTGGTTGGGCAGGGGGGTTTGTGTTAAAGAGAGACGTGGTTGGGCGTGTGATGCGGTCGCTATTGTGTAATTTGGAAAAGTTAGAAAGGGTTCAATTGCCGTAGTATGTGTGTGTCTGCCTGTGTGTGTCTGCCTGTGTGTGTGCCTGCCTGTCTGCACGCGGGAAACACAACAGGAGATAGTGGCCCTGTCAGGAGCGCACACGCTGGGGAGAGCCCACGCAGATCGCAGCGGTTGGGGCAAGGAATCCACCAAATACACGGTGAGTGAGACCATGGCACAGTGCAGTGCGGTCCAGTGCTGTGCAGTGCGATGTTGTGTGGTGCTCCGAGATTGTGAAGCATGAAAGGAGTGGTACGCGGGTTAACAACGGGTCCACCTAAGTCTAGTGGCTCCATCTCATTCTCCACCTAACGGGACTTGAATTTACCAGGTATGCAGTGACACCACGGCCGTGACACATGTAGATAGGTTATATGAATTTTACCAAGTACGTGACACGTCTCAAAAATAACATAAGTCTAGGGGCGAGAGAGCTTTTGAGAATTCTCAAAAACTCCCTGCAAAGTCTAGGGGCAAGAGATTTGAATTTACCAGGTACACAGTGACACCTCAACCGTGACACCTCGACCGTGACACGGTGTATCCTTTGAGGTTCCCTTGCCCCTTCCCTTGCCGCATCTCTCAATCTCTCATTTTCTCTTCTCTGTTTCAACTTTGCTACTTGCCTCTGTTGCCTCCTCTTTCCGTTTCGCTTCTCCTTTCCATCACCGCCTCACTCTCTGATTCCTCCTGCTTCCTCTCTCACCACTCTCCTCCACTCCACCCCCTTCTCTCCTCTCTCACCACTCTCCTCCACTCCACCCCCTTCTCTCCTCTCTCACCACTCTCCTCCACTCCACCCCCTTCTCTCCTCTCTCGCTGAGCCCAATCCCTTGCAGAGAGACGGACCGGATCGCCCTGGAGGCTCCTTCATGGACCGTGCAGTGCCTCATGCCCTCCCACTCCCTCCCACTCCTAACTCTTTCTCCCTTCGCCCTCCTTCATCCCCTTCGCCCTCCATTCCCCCCTGCCCTGCTCCATCCCCTTCGCCCTCCTTCATCCCCTTCGCCCTCCTTCATCCCCTTCGCCCTCCATTCCCCCCTGCCCTGCTCCATCCCCTTCGCCCTCCTTCATCCCC